AGGAGGAGGAGGAGGAAGCTCCAGCATTTCATCTTAAGCTGGTCAAGCATGAAACGAGGCGGAGGAGCAGGAGGAGGTTCCAGTATTTCAGCTTTAGGTTTGTCCAAGGCAAAAAGGAGGTGGAGGAGGAGGAAGAGGAGGAGGATGAGGATGAGGAGGAGGGGGCTTCAGCTTTTTTTCCTACTTCTGTCCAACGTAGCAGGACGCTGAGGAGGAGGAGGAGGAGGAAGAGGAAGAGGAAGAGGAGGAGGAGGAGGAGGAGGAGGAGGAGGAAGAGGAAGATGAGGAGGAGGAGCAGGAGCAGGAGCGGGAGCAGGTGCAGGAGCAGGAGCAGGAGCAGGAGGAGCTGGAGCAGGAGGAGGATGCGGATGAGTAGGAGGAGGATGCTGAGGATGCGGAGGAGGAGAATGCTGATGATGATGATGCTGATGATAATGGTCATGCTGATGATGATGATGATGATGATGCTGATGATGCTGATGATGCTGCTGCTGATGATGATTGATGATGATGATGGTGTTTCTGATGATGCTGATGATGTTGATGATGACGGATGATGATGATGAGGAGGAAGAGGAGGAGGAGGAAGAGGAGGCCTCGGGCACTTGTTTTGATCAGGTCTCCCCGCGTTCTCTGTTGCTGCCGCCTCTTGCTGCGCTCGAGGCTCCGGTGCGATATCGTGCATCACATTGAGCACAGAAGAGAGTGAGTCCACGTACAAAAGCAGAGTTTGTGCTACGCTGTTGATCGATCCCAAGAAGGCTTTCGAGCTGGTCCAGCACCATCACTTGATTGCTTCTGCCGCAGCGACGGGCAATCCTCTATGTTGCAGCTCATTGTCTTAGGACCTTTTGACGCCGTCCAGGCGTCTCATCCTGCTGTTCAGCTTTCCGTCGATGTTGACGACGTTGGCCTCGTGAGGTGGGGCGCCGACAGCAGAGTTGTTGGCGACGTCGTGTCAGCAGGCCGCCTCCTGACCACGAGGCTGGACGGTGTCGATCTTCGTATCGCGGCCGGCAGGTCTAGAGTCCTGAGCAACGTCCCTGCCGTGCGTGCCACCAGACGGCAGAACCACCGCCAGGACGGAAAATCACGCACCTTGGCCCTGATGCTTGCGCCTGTTCCCCGCCTGGGTCCCATCTACCGTGCCACCTGGTTGCCCGTCCTATCTGCGTGCTCTGTGGCATATTTGGATGCCTGACAAGAGCAGGCTGACCGCACAGTAAAAGGGCACCTTCGCAGCACCATCGTGGGAGGATCGTGGCCCAGAAGAGGCAGTGGGAGGCAGGCTACGACACCGCGCCTGCCGCCAGTCTGTTGTGCCCGACTGCCGAGGGCACGCTTCTGCACAGACACTCTTTTTGTTCGCGGCTCAGCAACTTAGACGGACAGCCACCCTTCTTGGCTGGTGCCACCGCTGCCGCAGCGACTTGGATGCTCGCCAAGCTTTTCGCCGAACGTGCTTAGTTCCTTTCCCTGTCTTGATAAGGCCGCCTACTGGGATTCCCATCTGCTGGGGTTTAGGGGGCTCTTCCGAGTTTTCAGGAGACATCTGCACTGGTGGTTCTGTTTTTGAGGCCGAGTATCCAAGTCTGCCTTCGCTGGATGGGGGTGCATGGCGCTTCATCATGACCGTTGCGAGGTGATGTCGTTTTGCTCTGGCCCTGCCTTGAGCCCCATGCAGTGTATCAGCGTTGCTGAGCTCATGGCCATCATCCATGCTCTGCGCTTTGCGTCTCCGCCCGTCCGACTCCTCACCCGCTCGGCCTTTGTGGCTGAAGGGTTTCTGGAGCGTGGCCGTCAGGCCACCTGTGTGTGTGTGTGTGTCCATGCATGCGCACCTTTGGAGGCACTTTTGGAGGCTTGTTGACGGCTGGGGCGGGGGCTCTGCAGTCGTCGAGATCAAGGGGCGTGCGACAGTGGTTGACGTTCAGCCTGGACGCGCCACGGCACGCCGTAGGTACGGTAATGCCACGGCGGACGAGGCGGCCAAGAGTGCTGCAGCGTTCGCCCGTCTCGATTAAGGAACTCCCTCTCAGCTGCAGGCCCGTGAGAGAGTCCTCCAGGTCTGGGGATCTTGGGTTGGTCGTCTCGGGGATGAGCTGGCAGACGGCGGTCGCCCGAGGACGCGCAACCGTGGGAGGCCGCCAATCCTTGATCTGCAGCTGGTCAGCGACCCCACCCCCAACGATGTGTGGTTAGTCGGGTTCTTGCAGCGCAGGTGGAGCTGGGGGTGGGGTCCAAACTGCACGCCCTTGTTCGGCTCCAGCTGCAAGAAGGACCTCTTGTGGTCGGATGCCCGCGCTGTGGTTGTTTCGTGCCCACTCGCGTCGCGAGCTTGGGTGGGCCGTGTCCTCCCCAGGTTTCCGATCATGGGAGGAAGGTGCCCACTCGGCTTGCGAACAAGCATGAATTCAGGCTCGATGGGAAGGTTTATCGGGTCCTCGCGCAGGATCGTGTTGATCCTGCCGTGCCCCTCGGTCCGTCGTCCGCGGGGCGTGGCTAAATGGCGGTTGCTAGGTGCGCCCCTAGCCACGCCGTTTTGTTGTAGGCTGAGGTCTATAGACTCTGTAGCGCACCAGGTTGTGCCCATCTAGCCGCGGGGCGTTGCTTATGGCGGTGCTTGGTGCGACCCTAGCCACGTCTTTTCTCGCAGGCCGTGCAGGCTATCGGTCGATCACTGGGGTTGCCCCAAGAATGGAACCGATGGCCCTGTCCCCGGCGAGTGGTTCTCCCAGCGTGTGTAGTCTTTCGTCTGCATGTACACTTATTAGCCATTCGGCATCTATTGCTTTGTGTGCGCATTTTTGGTGAATGCCGCCCAGCTGCCCTTGCTGGTGGTGGCGCCAACGGCAGTGAATTCAGACTCGATGGCTCGGCCACTCGCGTTCCCGTGCAGGTTCGCATCGATCCTGCAGTGCCCCTCGGTCCGTCGTCCGCGGGGCGTGGCTAATGGCGGTCCCCATGTTGTACCCAGGAGGAGGAGGAGGAGGAGGAGGAGGAGGAGGAGGGAGGAGGAGGAGGAGGAGGAGGAGGAGGAGGAGCAAGAGGAGGTGAGGAGGAGGAGGAGGAGGAGAGGAGGAGGATGGAGGAGGAGGAGGAGGAGGACGATGCACGACGCACGACGCAAGACGCACGGCGCACGACGCACGACGCGCGAAGCACCGCGGACACGATGATGACACACGACGCACGACGACGCACGACGCACGACGCACGACGCACGACGCACGACGCACGACCGCGACGACGCCGCATGTCGACGCACGTCAGCGACGCACGTCGGCGGCGTGCGTCGACGACGGCGGCGCAGACGGCGAGGACGCGGACGAGGAGGAGGTCCGCCCCCTCTCCTCCTTTCCTCGACATGCGTGCTCGACACTGCTACGCCCCCGGGCCCGGCGAGTGCGACGGTGGCTGGAAGGGGGGGGGGAAATCTAGCACATGGGGGAGAGGAACGACTTTTGTTTCTATATATATATATATATGTATATATTCCCGGCGACGCTATCCCCTAGGTGCTGTTGTGCTTGCGCGACTCCATCTCTTAACTTGTCTGTGCACAGCGTCTTGTCTGTGCGGTTTGGGTCCAACGAGTGCCTCCTGAATTCACGTCGACGCGTCGGAACCTTGATTTCAGCGAGTGCAGCAGCGTGAGGAGGAGGATGCGGTGGAGGAGACGACGGATAATGATGATGATGATGATGATGATGATGATGATGATGGTGATGGTGATGGTGATGGTGATGGTGATGGTGATGATGATCATGCTGATGATGATGATGATGATGATGATGATGATGATGATGATGATGATGATGATGATAAGCATGATGATGATTATCATGATGATGCTGCTGCTGATGATGATGGTGATGATGATGAGGATGATGCTGCTGATGATGATGGTGATATGGTGATCATGATGATGATGATGATTATGATGATGATGATGATGATGATGATGATGATGATGAGGAGGAGGAGGAGGAGGAGGAGGAGGAGGAAGAGGACGATGCTGATGATGCTGATGATGATGATGGTGGTGGTGATGATGGTGGTGGTGATGATGATGATGCTGATGGTGATGACAATGATGATGATGATGATGATGATGATGATGATGATGATGATGATGATGATGATGATGATGATGATGATGATGTGATGCTGATGATGATGATGATGATGATGATGCTGATGATGAGGATGATGACGCTGATGATGCTGAGGATGAGCTGATGATGATGATGATGATGATGATGATGATGATGGTGGTGGTGGTGATGTGATGATGATGATGCTGATGATGATGATGATGATGATGATGATGCTGATGATGATGAATGATGATGAGGATGATGATGATAATGATGATGATGGTGATGGTGATGACGATGATGATGATGATGATGACTGATGATGATGATGATGATGATGATGATGATGATGAATGATGATGATGATGATGATGTAGATGATGAGGTGATGATGATTGATGATGATGATGATGATGATGATGATGATGGATGATGATGATGAGGCTGATGAGATGATGATGATGATGAGGAGGAGGGAGGAGGAGGAGGAGAGGAGAGAGGAGGATGGGGAGGAAGGAGGGAGGATGAGATGGAGGAGGAGGAGGAGGTGGAGGAGGAGAGAAGGAGGAGGAGGAAGGAGGAGGAGGAGGAGGAGTGAGTGGAGGAGGAGGAGAGGACGGAGGAGGGGGAGGGGTGGGGAGGGAGGAGGGGGAGAAGAAGAAGGAAGAGGCTGCGGAGGAGGAGGAGAAGGAAGAATTGGAGGAGGGGAGGAGGAGGAGGAGGAGGAGAGGAGGAATTGGAGGAGGGGGAGGAGGAGGAAGAGGAGGAGGAGGAAGAGGAGGAGGAGGAGGAGGAGGAGGAGGAGGAAAAGGAGGACGAGCAGGAGGGGAAGCCGTGCGAGGGAAGCGCAGGCTGAGGCGGCAAGGGACGGGCAGGCCTGGCGGGCGCGCCTCGCCGCGCCGCGGGCCGCGGCGCCCGCCCACGCGGCCGTCGCGGCCGTGGCGGTCGCGGCTGCGGCGCGCGCCGTCGGGAGCTCGTCGAGGCGTCGGTTGTCGCGGCCGCCGCCGTCGGAGGGATGAGGATGAGGATGATGATGATGATGCTGATGATGACGATACTGATGATGATGATGATGATGAAGCTGATGATGATGATGACTGTGAGGACGAGGATGAGGATGAGGACGATGATGAGGATGAGGATGATGATGGTGATGATTATGAGGCTGCTGATGATGATGATGGTACTGATGATGACGATTCCGATGATGACGATAAGGCTGCTGCTGATGATGATGCTGCTGATGATGATGATCATGTTGTTGATGATGATGATGGTGATGACGATGACAATGATGCTGCTCATGATGATGATGATGATGATGATGATGATGATGATGATGATGATGTTGACGACGATGAAGACGATGCTGCTGATGATGATGCTGCTGACGATGATGATGCTCCTGCTGACGACGATGACGCTGATGCTGGTGATGATGACGATGCTGATCATGATGCTGATGCTTACGATGACGATGCTATGATGATGCTCATGATTTGGATGCTGCTGCTGATGATGCTGATTATGATTATTGTGCTGGTAATGGTGAAGATGTTGTTGATGATTATGTTTCCGGTGACGATGATGCTGATGCTGATGATGATGCTGATGATGCTGATGCTGCTGCTGATGATGGTGATGCTGCTGATGCTGATGATGACGATGACGATGATACACATTTTGATGATGATACTGATGCTGACGATGATGCTGCTGATGATGATGCTGATGATGATGCTGATGATGAGGATGCTGATGATGCTGATGCTTATGCCGCTGCTGATGATGATGCTTATTTTGCTGATGAGGAGGATGCTTATGATGCTGATGATGCTGCTGCTGATGATGATGATGATGATGATGGTGATCCTGTTGATGATTAGGATGCTGATGCTCATGCTGCTGCTGATGATGATGATGATAAGGATGCTGCTGCCGATGATGATGATGATGACGCTGCTGATGATGATGATGATGATGACGATGCTGATGCTGATGGCGATGCTGATGATGATGATGCTGATGCTGATTATGATGATGATGATGATGATGATGATGATGATGATGATGATGATGATGATGATGCTGATGACGATGATGATGATGACGATGATGATGATGATGCTGATGATGATGATGATGCTGATGATGATGCTGCTGATGATGACGATGATGCTGATGCTGATGCTGATGCTGATGCTGATGCTGATGATGATGATGATGATGATGATGATGATGATGATGATGATGCTAAGGATGATAAGGATGAGAAAGAGGATGAGGAGGAGGTGGAGGAGGAGTGTGGGAAAGAGAGGAGGAGGAGGAGGAGGAGGAGGAGGAGGAGGCGGATCAGGCGGATGAGGAGGAGGAAGAGGAGGAGGAGGAGGAGGCGGACGAGGTGTTTTTTACCCTCCGTACTTGACGGCGCACGTTTGATTTTGAAAGGGTAATCCAGTTCTTCCGCTCCCCGTGGGTGGTCTCAGGCTTGTGGTTGGGTTTTTGGGTCCTCCCTCACTCTATTCACCCGCTTTTTTTTCATTCCCTCCCGTTGCCGTTACTGAGGGGAGAGTGTGTGTGAGAGAGAGAGAGAGAGAGAGAGAGATGACGATCACCGCCGAAACATGTGTGGCCAGGCGAGGCGATTGGGCAAAAGAGCGCGCGCGATGCGTGCCTCCCGTCGTCGTTGTCGTCGTCGCGCTCAATCGTGAACGGCATTGCCCTGGGGACTTGTCGCCACGGCTGGACTACGGAACCAGATGCGAATAAGGAGCCTTGCCGCCTTGGAGGTTTCTCTTTCCAATCTCCTCCTTGAAGATGGAAGACTCAGGCATCCTTGAAGGCGTTCTGAACGCCATCATTTCAGCCGTGTACTTTATCGCAGAAGTCAACCAGCAAACTGCCCAAGTTGCAGCGGAAGGGGTGCGGACAAGTCGTAACGACAGACCCCGCCGCAGGAAGAAGTCCTTATCAACCTCGTAAAAGGTCTGTCCTGCTGACCTCAACTGAAAAGCCTCCTGCTGGCCTGTCAAGACTCTGACTAGGCCTGGGAGAAAGGAGTTTTAACCCTTGCCCGGCCGCGCCCCGACAAAGGAAATAAACGGTAGGGAGACTCGTCGCTGCCCGAACAGTGGAACTAATGCCCCCTTGCCCGTTTGAGCAAGTACAGCGGGCTCTACCCCGTGTCCCACAGGCCGCCGTTGTGGCCTCGGGGGTTCAGCAACAAACGCTTCCCTTCAGGCCTGAACCATGGGCGGGAAGTGCTGCCCAATTCTTAAGTCAAATGCAACATCAGCTTGCAGAGCAGCAGCAGCAAGCTCTGAGTGAGCAGCAACGCCTGTTCGGACAACAGGAAGCAAACCTCCATAGGCTACTCTCTATCTCCATGGAATACGCTAGAACAACGGACCTGCGATCCGCAGCGCGTCTGAACAAGGGTGTTGTTACTTTTGTGACTGTTGAGCGTCGGGGGCCAAGAGCGGTGATGAAGCCTCGGGCGAAACGCTTGGACCGCCCTACCGACACGCCTGGTGGTGCAACGAGCGGGAGCTGCTCAGAGAGGAGAAAGATGGATTAGTGCTGCGCCTTCTTCTTCTAGTCCTCCTTCTCTGCCTCCTCCTCCTCCTCCTCCTCCTCCTCCTCCTCCCCATCCTCGCTTTCCCTCCCTCTCCGGCTCTCCCCGAAGCACGTGGGCCCGAGTCCGAGTATCGGCCACGCAGCTGGGACAGCTCGCTCCGAGTCACGTCAAGGTCGGATCTGCGCGCTACGGAGTTCCACTGCACGCTTCTGGTCCCCGAGCGTCAGCTTCGCTGAGCAGAAGGAAAGGGAGCAAGACGGCTGTAGACGGCCCCAAGACGGCCGCAAGACGGCCGAACGGGCTTTGGCCCAAGGGTCCGGAAGAGGACCCCCGAGAGGAGGAAGAGCAGGAGGAGGTGGAGGAGGAGGAGGAGGAGGAAAAGGAGGAGGTGAGAAGCACATCAGCGGTGACAGAGTCAGGAGCTCGTAGTACAGCAGAGGCTGGTGCGGTGCATCTTTGACGCCATTATCGTGTTCCGTTTGGCTCAAGCTGTCATTGCCTTCAGGGAAAGGGCTCCGATTCTACTCTCATGGTGGCGGAGCCCGCGGTTCGCCCACGGGTCCCAGTGCACGTGGCCGAATCTACGAAGCAGTCGGCTCGCTGCAGTGGCTGCGGCGGCTGCCGCGACGTCTCCACCGACCCTTGGTGTCGCGGCTGCCGCGGGTTCGATGTGGCGTTGCCCGAGTTCCGAGACGCGTGGTGCAACCTGAGCACGAACCGATTCGCGGAACCCTGGTACAACTTGAGCACGAGGCACACGGACACGTCATGTATGTTAACACAACGTTCAAGTCTAAGTACGGAAGGCATCAGAGCGGTTGACAACACCAGGGCGTTTACAACGTTTCATCTGAGCGGCAATATGAATGCCTATATAGACACGTGGATCGGCCATCAGCCGCAGCATGTACTGCGAGAAACAGTTCAACAACACGAAAGAGTACGTTGGAACTGGATTCCGACGTCAAGCGAACGACTTGGATCATGTTACTAATATCGCGGGTGCCATGCCGTCAGCTGGAAGCGCCAGGACTGGAGGGGGCGGCAGCAAACCCGCGAGTGAGCACAAGGCGGTTCAACAGTAAAAAACGCTTCCGGGTGACTGGGCCCAGTTCAGGGGATGGAACGAAGAGCTGTTGACAGCGGCGTGAATGGGTTTCCGTGGCAACCTGGCCTGAGCGAGTTCGGAGTTCAGGTTCAAGTCAGAGTGATCTTACCGATGGCGGTGCTCGGTCCAGGTTTTTGCTGCAGATGGGCTGCCGCTAGCGGCTCGTGGGGTCGCGGTGAAAAAGTCGGCGCGTATGGCTTTGGGGGCCGCGCCGGGATGTTATGGGTGCAAGGCAATCGCCGGAGCAGACGTCGCCCGCGAGCCTCGCAATGCGGGGTGTCGAGGACGTGTTATCGAGTGGCTTATGAGACAGGGCGACCATGACGTCTTGGAGAGAGTGGCAGCCGCTCAGATGGAAATGGGGCCAGACAGAACCCAGCACAACCAGGATTGGGAGCTTCCACTGTATGACAATGTGGGTTTTAAAGATCGGCCGTGCCATTCGACGTTGCCGCGAAGCCAGAACCAACGTGCAAGTGCCGAGAGACGTTGGATTTCGAGCCCCCTAGCAATTCAGTGGCGAAAGACGGCGGCGTGTAACTTGCCGTGGAACTCGAGATGGAGGACATAACCGGCAACTGGAAAGATGAGGGTGAGAGGGGGTTGCGAGGGCCTGGGCCGGGGTGGCCCGAGTTGAGTTCCGCGTGATCTCTGGTGGTGACGTCGGGCGCCTGGCCGACGTCGTGCCGTTAATATCAGCGGCAGGAAAAAGGAGGTCGGAGGATCTAGGGGCCGATGAGAAAGCGAGAGAAGTTAAGGATGAAAGGGGGCGAGGGTCAATAGATGCAACGGAAGGGCGCGGGGGCCGGGGGTGGCGAGGGGCCGGGTGGCGTGAGCGTGCCGCCGAGCGAACCTGGGCGCGTGGGCGAAGGACAGGACAACGTGAACACCGATGTACGCGCTGGTCTCGATGTTATGGGTACTGGCCCTGATGTTGTTGAGTGGTTGCTCGGCGCAAGTCTGGGTGTCGAGCCAATTTGGTCAGGGGGGCTGTGGGGCTATTCGGCCAAGGTCAGCGCCAGTTACGCGTTCCCCACGCTTTTTCTCTGGCGCGAGTTGCTGGCGCTGCGGGGGGAATTGGGCTCGTGCCCGGGTTTGCCATGGACTTCATTACGCGTGGCGAAGGTGGGGGCCCGTGGGTTTTTTTTGCGTGGAGCCTTGCGCGTGAAAGTCATGGAGACAATCGAGAGTAGAGCAGCCCCGCTGTTTTTTGCGCGCCCAATGCTTGCGGATTTCAATAGGTTGCAAGCTTTGGATTCGAAGAGCGTCGGGCCAGAAAAGACGGGGCGTGCTGGGCGGAGGTAAGTACAATTCCAAAGAAGATAACGCATTTGCAGCCGCCCTGCAGCCCCGAGACTGCCCGCGTCCATGGCAGTTGCCGAGGGGATAGGGCGCGGCCGAGGGGGGCGCGAGAAAGGAGTCAAACTGGGTTTGTGATATGTCAAGCGGGCATGCCTCGACGCCGAGGCCGAGCGTGACATCGCCTTCGAGCGTCCCGAAGAAGATCATGGCCCCGGCAGGTGTGGAGGACTATTAAGGACTATTAAGGTCCATGCGCGGCGCGCGAGGCGCTGTCAGTCATTGGGGGCCTTTTTTTGCGTGGATCTTGCGCGCGACATTGGCTTTGGCAGGGGAAAAGCTGTGCCATGTGTGTTTGATGTGAGACGAGACGAGCCTGGCGAACAGTGCATGGGGGCAATTTTATTTAACTGGGTGATGATGCTGATTGTGATTGGTTCGACGAAGAAATGCATAAACTTCGTTCGGTGTTAGAATCGGGGGTCGACCCAGGCCTGGGCCCGCATATTTGGAGTCGATCGGGGTTCTGACCGAACATTGAAATGGGGGCAGGATGGATTTTGGCATGGGGAGGATCGAAGGCATGCTGCAAACTTCGATTAAATAGTAGGCCTGGGCATGTACAGGGTAACATGTGACATCCCAGATGGAAGGCAGACGCGCGAAGGAGATGTCGGGCCTCGGCAAATCATGAAGTCGAGAAATTCCATGCTTCAGTGGCTTGATGATATTATCTATCACAGGATCGCTCGGATTGTCGGTTCTCTGTCAAGGAACTCGCGCGCTCTATGCCAGCCCCCACCCGAGGGGCACGGGGACTTCTTGCAATATTGGTTAAGTGCGTCAAGGGCCATGACCGGCGTGGATGGCAGCGTCTGTATCAAGAACGTCCTAGGGGTTATTTGTATGGGCGGACGCCGCTCCTGCAGGATGCAAGAGAACGCGCAAGTCAATGAGTGGAGTGACGGTTATGCGGGGATCGCGCTTGATAAAGCCGCCGAGTTCGTCCCAGAGTGTAGTGGTATTATCTTCTGGGGAAGTGGGATTTGATGGAATGGTTGAGTGCGCCTCGGTAGCATTGCGTCTGCCAGTATTTTTCAAGGATTTCGGGGTTGATTGTGGCGTCTCGTTAAAGAATGGTCGCGGTATGGGACAGCGAAGTCTGCCAGCTTTGTTTACAGTGAACGTGCGACGTGGGGACATCACCGTAATCAACGTAGACACCCGTGAGATTCTTGCTTGTGCTCTAACTAAGTACCTGAGCCGAGAGACATGCTCATGCATGTGCGAAGTACGGGTCGTTTTCATGCTTGTGGCAAACACGAACTAGCACCCGCGACGGAGTGTTAGCTTAGTCCGTGTTCGGGTTGCCTTCGCGAGCCACTTTGACAGAGACTTGGGCTCAGGGTCGGCTGAGATCCAGGTGCTCGTTTACGCGAGTTAAATTCAGCACAAGTGTGCATTCGAACCTTTAGCATTCCTTTGCGCGTTGTGACACTTTGAATTCGTTTATCTCGTTTTAAGAGCATAGTCGCCATCGGGCCATCCGCTTGCACCAATTATCCTTACGAGGCTTTTGGCGCGACTGCAACCAAGTCGCGATGACATCGTTTGCGGTCAGCCTATTGCGCGTTTGGGGTGGGTGCCACATTTTGGGTACTTGAATCTTTCGCCCGTGCGTGCTGCGTATGCGCTGCAATCGAGCTAGCACCTGCAGGTAGCAAAGCCAAAACCGATAGCTTTGGTTAAACGGGCTATCGAAAGCGACATCGGTTAGGAATTATCTCACACCACGTCCGCTTCAGTCTTGTGCATGTTGACCGTTACCTCCGGGTGGTGATTGCATTGTGTGCTTTATCCCGGTCATTGATTTCAAGTGAACGCCTCAACTGTGGGACCATCCTCGTGTCACGCTTGGCACCATTCGTATTTGCCTCTGGGGAAATGATTTTGTTATATTTCCAGGAGGAAGAGGAGGAAAACGAGGATGAGGAGGAGAAGGGAATGGAACAGGATGATGATGGGGAGGAGTCCGGAGGAGAGAGAGAGAGAGAGAGAGGATGAACGATGGGGGAGGGAGCCGAGGAAAGGACAATGAGCGGCGAGGATGGGGAGGAGGAGGAGGAGGAGGAGGAGGAGGAGGAGGAGGAGGAGGAGGACAATGAGCAGGGGGTGGAGAAACAGGAGGAAGACCGCTCCGAGGTGGCCGGGGCCGCGGCGCTCTAGCGGAGCGGCGGTGGTCGTCTCCGCGAGGGGCGGAGACGACGAGGACGGCGCGAGGCGGGGCATCTTCTCTCCTCGGCAGTTGCGGAGGGTGTGGTTACGCCGTGGTGTGGTTTGCGATCTGCGTCGTTGGGGTTTTGGGGCACCGCGTTGCCCTCGTCGGGCCTCGTTTGGGCGCGATGGACAATTCAGTCGAGATCCTCGCCCGCCTCCCCAGGGTGCGGGTTGCAAACCACACCCTTTGCAAACCACTCCCATCGGAGTCGCCGATACTCCCCTTTTGCTCCGCAAGCGTTCGTTCTGAAAACCTTCAAGGGCCCACCCGATAGATCTGTTTGATTTTAGCTCGACTTCAGTTCGTCTCAAGTAATCAAGCTCGACTCGAGTTCGACGGACGTTCGACGCAGTCCACTACCCCCTGACCAGCTCCTTCCTTGGCCCAGGGGCCGTGTTTTCGCCCTTTGGCCAAGCCAGGAGGGCGTGGCGTATACACCGCAGCTGGTTTCAGGATGGGCCTGGCCAGTGAGCAGTGTATTCCTCCTCCTCCTCCTTTCAGGGGAGGGCGAGTTGAGGCAACGGTGGTTGGCCTTCGGTGGGCCCCCATGTCGCCACGGCTGAATGCATTTCGGACCGATTTGACTTATCGTTGTCTCATATCATCCTGCTCTGATTAGCCCTCTTTCTTCTTCCTTCCTCCTCGTCGTCGTCATTGCCGTCGCCGTCCTTGTCATCGTCGCCGTCGTCGTCGTCCGAGTCGAGTCGATATTTTGAAACATCCCCGTGCCGCGTCGACGTCGTCGACCTTCTCGTCGTCGTCGTCTTCGTCTTCGTCGGCGTCGTCGTCGTCTTAGTCACGCTGTCGTCTAGCTCTGTCGCCGAGCCAAAGGTGACCAAAGGTCTCCCCTTGAGGCCGCAACATTGCCGCAAAGGGCCCATGGCACCAAGGCGGCCGAGCAGGAGCAGGAGCAGGACGAAGACGAAGAGCGGAAAGCACGGTCGGCGAGGACAAGGAAGACGAGCGGAAGGACGAGTCAGAGCCCTTCCCCCCTTTGTCTCCCTTCTCCGCCCGGTCCATGGATCTCCCCGAACGAGGGGCCTGTCTGGGGTGAGCCGCTCGCTCTGAGCGCGGCCGCGCGCCTTCGTCAGGAACGTCTTTCCCTCCTCTTGGACCTGCGTCCTCGGAGGCAGCCGTCCATCCTAGTCCCAGCCCCTCCCAGAACTCCAACCCAGACATCCGACGATGTGTATATATGTATGAATGCATGCATGTAAGTATATGTATAGATGTACGTATATGCATATGCATATGTAAGTGCAGATCTATAGGCATATGTATGTGTACATGTGCATGTGCATGTATAGATATATGTATACGCAGAGGCATATCAGCATATGTGTATGCATATGTATATATTTTCATATGCATACATCTAGATATGTCGATATGTGGAGGTATGTGTATGTATATGACAGTGTACAGGTATGTGTGTGTATATAGATATATGTATATGTGAATGTGTGTGTTGACATATAATTGCATGTATATACAATTACGTGTACGTATGTGAACACATGCATGTACATGTATATATGTAAATGTATGTGTATATGCATATCCTATGTATATATGATTTCTTATATGTACATGTATATACGCATTTGTATATATATATATATATATGTATATGCGCAGACATTTGTACATATACATATATGTGTCTATGTGTGCATATATTTGTACATGTACATTTGTAGGTATGTATGCATATGTATACACATACACATTAGTATGCATATGGATATGCATATGCATGTATATATATGCATCTATGGATATGCATATGTATATGTAGCTGCATGTATGTGTAGGTGTACGTGCATGGATACGTACTTGTATACGTATATGTATATGTATGTGTTTTTGTATGCGTATATACATATGGTTATGTATATGTCTATCTTTATGTATGTGCATGTGTACATGTACATGCATGTATGTATGTACACATAGATGTACACACACACATATATAGATATAGATATATATATATATATATATATATCAGTATATTCATATGTGTATGTACATGCGTATGCATATGCATATTTATGTGCATGTGTATACTTATTCACAAACGTATATGTCTATATGTATGTATGCGTATGCGTATGTGCAGGTGCATGAGGATACGTATTTGTATTTGTATATTGAGATGCACATATACATATCATTACACATACGCATGTACACACGCACACATGTATATACATGTATGTATATGTGTACATGTACAGTTGTTGTTTAATGTGGTCGTTGCTCCTCGATTTTGGTCTCCGGGCGCCGTCATCGGACCCCAGGCCTCTCAAACATTTTACTGGCGAAGGACCCAACCATATGCAGTTGTGAGTACTGCAAGTGTGAATGCCGTCTTTCGTGGAGCTCCCTACGGGGCCACCAAGAGCTGCACTGGGTGGGGGGAACGCATGCGGGCGGTAGCACTGGGACCTTCGGTGGAGCTCCCTATGGGGTCACGAAGCGCTGTATTGGGTGGGGGCGACGCATGCGGGCGGTAGCGCTGGGACTTTCGGTGGAGCTCCCCACGGGGCCGCGAAACGCTGTACTGGGTGGGGGGGCGCATGCGGGCGGTAGCACTGGGGCCGTCGGTGGAGCTCCCTATGGGGCCAACGGGCGGTAGCATTGGGGCCGTCGGTGGAGTTTCCTATGGGGCCACGAAACGCTGTACTAGGTGGGGGGGACGCATGCGGGCGGTAGAACTGGGCCCTTCGGTGGAGCTCCCCACGGGGCCACGAAGCGCTGTGCTGGGTGGGGGGGGGACGCGCGAGGGCGGTAGCACTGGGGCCTTCGGTGGATCTCCCAATGGGGCCACGAGACGTTGTACTGGGGGGGGGGGGCGCATGCGGGCGGTAGCACTGGGGCTGTCAGTAGAGCTCCCTATGGGGCCACGAAACGCTGTACTGGGTTCGGGGAACGCATGCGGGCGGTAGCACTGGGGCTGTCAGTGGAGCTCCCTATGGGGCCACGAAACGCTGTACTGGGTTCGGGGGACGCATGCAGACGGCAGCAATGGGACCTTCGCGGGAGGTCCCTATGGGGCCACGAAGCGTGTGAGGGGTGCGCTGAAACGGGTGATGACGATGATGCTAATGAGAGGAGGAGGAGGGAGGGGGCAGCGGGAGAAACGCGGGGCGTTGTCTCTTCAAAACGAGTACCCAACACCACAGGATGGTTGGGAGTGAATCCAGACCGGAAAGATGGTCCGCGTGAGGGGGCGGGACCTCTGGAGAGTCGCCATGCGAAGCGGGCACGGTCCTGGATGGCTGGAGCTTTTTGTGTTTTTTCGCAGCGTGGGCCTCCGGAGGTCTGGGCCCTCTCCCACTTGGCATCGTTCGGAGCATCGAGGACCATCGAGGAGCATTTTGGACCATCGAGGAGCATCTTTTGGACCATCGAGGAGCATCGAGGACCATCGAGGACCATCGAGGAGCATCGAGGACCATCTCCCAGCGAGGACCATCGAGGAGCATTTTGGACCGTCTTGCGAAAGGTAAGCGCGCGAAACCTACAGGTGCACGGGGAACGAACGTCCGAGCGATAGCAAGTGCAGGGGCCCGCTTTGCGCCCCACGGCCCGTCTTTCGGCCGGGGAGGAGGAGGAGGAGGAGGAGGAGGAGGAGGAGGAGGAGGAGGAGGGGGAGGGGGAGGGGCAGGGGGAGGGGGAGCGTAGTCTTACGAAGGAAGAAGAGGATCGAGTCGTAACGGCGCTCGGTTGATTAAAAAAAGCTCCAGACCCCCGACGCCATGTCTTGTTCGCGACGTGGACCCCCAGAGGTTTGGAGCCTTTCCCGGGAGCCAGTGTTCTCATCCCGAGTCGTTCTTGACGGAGCCCTGGGGTCTGGTGAGGGCCCCGGTGATGCCGGGAACGGCCAACGACCTCAAGCCGTGATTCCAACCGTGACGCGAGGAGGTCAGGCCAGTCCCTGCTTCGCCTGCCCACCCTCCCAGGGCCGCCCACGATTCGCTTCGATGTGATTCGCTTCGCTGGGCGGCGGCCGCGATTTCGATTCGATTCGGTTCGGCTCGGTTCAGTAAGCATCGACCGGGGCCAGCTGGAGCCGGGCGCGGTGCTCCGATCTCGATCCGATCTGGAACGACTCGCCGCCGATTCGATCCGATTTCCGGAGGTCCGACGTAGCGAACAAAACGGAACATTTTGGCAAATCACGGCCGGAGCCCTCGCATCTTCTCGCGCCATCTTTAGAGCTGGATAGACCTGTGAGGATCCCGGGGCCCGACGCCGAGCGCAAACGCCAAGCTCGACGCAATTGCGACGCCCAGATCGCCGATCGCCCTCCCCGACGCCGAGGCCGCCATCTCCGCCGCTTGCCGTCGCCAGTGGCCCCCCCCTTGAGGGCACCACCACCACCGACGGCGCCGAGAGGCGGAGATCATTATGCCGCCCCACCAGCCCCACCCCCCGCCCCCAGAGGAGAGAAGAGGAAAACGTCCGGGGAGACGGGGGCGCCATCGCCGACCCGCCCCGACGCTCTCCCTCTCGCCCTTTTCCCCTCTCGTCCCCCCCCCTCCCCCTGCCCCCCCCCCAAGCCCTACCACCGGCCCCCCCCTCCGGCGGCGCCGAGAGGCCCCGCCGGCGCCGGCGCCGGCGGGGTACGGCGGACGCCAGCGGCAAGTCGGCCGGGGCGCTCGGTGGGCTGCCGTCTCCGCAGAGCTCTCCGGTAGCAGTAATCGGGGGCGGCAAAGAGGGGGGTGATGACTAGGGGGGGGTGGATATCATGGCGCGGGCCATGATTTTTTCCCAGATTTCATGGCGCCTCTTCTTATTTCATTACGTCCCTGGCCCCCCCGCTGGGCCGCGCACATGCCGCCGGCCATGATTTGCACCCCCCCCTCTTTGACACCCCCCTCTTTGCCGCCCCCGAAGTAAGGTGGGCACGTCCCTCTACAGGAGGAGTGCTCAAGACTAGTACGACGATAGCATGGGGACGATTTGTCGGCTATTCGTGATGATTTTGGATGATTTTAGGATTGTTTGTCCAGGATCCGCCTGTAGGAGGGCATGCCCGGCTTGACAGTAGCAGCTCATGGGGGGGGCCCTTCAGACATGCTCGTGTCCTGACGAAAATCAGGGCCGGGAGGCTCTGCGCGGCTTTGGGCCTCCAGGGGCCTTCGCCGGGCCTCGGGGTCGTCGCAAGACGACTTGGGACGGAACGCCGGGCCTCGGGACAGGGTCGGGACCTCTGTGGCCCAGTCTTGAGCAAGTCAGGGCATCGCATGTTTGGGTTCGAGAAGCAAGGAGTGACATACACATAAACATGTGGGGGTCCGCGCGGACTTCTTGGATTG